AAACAAAAAATATACCAACATCGGCGGCGTGCCAGATCTTTACACACAAACCGATCCGCAAACAAAACACTGTCGAGGTTGAGGTCAATTATTCCTGAAACCTTTCTTTGTATAAACTGCAATAGAGATATAGCAAGAAAAAGGTAAAAATATCTTGAGTACAATGTGCGAATAGTGCGTTTACATACGCATTGCTTATATCTGAATGACGTATATAAATTCCAGTATATGCTTGCACTCTTTATTCTGTATATTCGCTGCAATAATACGGATACATATGGTAAACCTGAGAAAATTCACAATCGATAAAAGAATATATAAACAAACCAGAAAAAATGAAACTTTAAATTCAAAATATTTAATAATATCGAAGTCATTAGGGTCAGTGGACGAACCATTAACGCCGCAACCCCGGTGTCTTCCTCCGCTCCGCCAAGCTATCAGCTGATCTTTTCGCTTGCATGATTCACCTCCTTCTCCGTAGTAAATGAAGTGGGAGGAAATTATGGAAATAAAAGTAAAGAGAGGGACTGGAATATTGAGTAAATGTCATGGCACTAGAGGAACTGAGAAATTATAGATGTCATTATGATACTCATTATCATGATTACTATTAGTATCACTGGCGTTACTATTATTAACTTCACTGATATTAGTAGTAGTAGAAGTTACTGCATCATCCTTATCATCACTATTATTATCAATATCAAATTCGCGACAGCAAGAGCAACAATCATAAAAACAATAGTAATGAAGGTAATAATACTATAATTATTATTATCAACATCATCATTATTATTATCATTATTATTATTATTATTATTATTATTATTATTATTATTATTATTATTATTATTATTATTATTATTACAGTTGCTGTTGTTATTATTATCAACATCATCATTATTATTATTATCATTATTATTATTATTATTATTATTATTATTATTATTATTATTATTGTTATTATTATTATTATTATTATTATTATTATTATTATTATTATCATTATTATCATCATTATTATTACTGTTGATTTTGTTGCTATTTTTCTTATTGTTATTATTATTATTATTATTATTATTATTATTATTATTATTATTATTATCATTATTATCATCATTATTATTATTATCATTATTATTACTGCTGTTGTC